TATATTTGTACAATTTCAAGATTTAAATGGGAAAATTGGTTATAACTAGGCAAGTTAAATAAGGGTATGTTAGTAAACGAACAAAACAAAGCATTCTCAATAAGAATAAATACTATATAATTGGGACAAAAAGATAAGGAAAGTCAGCCTATATAAGTCCTTGTTTGATCCACATTATTTTTAAAATATATTTTTTCTTTTCTTATCAATCACACTTTCTTCAATAAAATAATATTATACGCAAATAAATTTTTTTTCCTTATTTTTAAACTACCAAATTTTCGTCAATTTACTATTCTAAAATGCATTATTGAATAAAAATGTGGCTCAAACAGGCCCTCAATGGGATAGAGGAAGTACTCCTATGGTAACAAATTTATTATTAGCTCATAGTGACCATTTTGTGTTATGTTGATTGTTTTTATGCACTGTAGTTGTTATACAGATATGAATTGAAGTTGAATTGATTGTCATATTAATTATTAATTTTCCTTTTTTTATGCTCAGTGTTTAAAAATGCGTTCTTGGATGTTGAGGTTCTTTTCTTTGTGATGCCTAATCGTAAACCAAAAATGTCAAGAAAATATTAATTTCCCAAACAAGCACATTATAAACTATTAAATATAAGTAATCGTCAAAGTTTATAGTAGATCAATTGAATGTGTGTGAACATATAAAAGAAAAATCTAGTAACAAAAAAGCTATTATTTTAGTCGGTGGGAAATGGACTATTTTCAAAGTGTTGAGTGCATGAGAAACTCAATTTTTCATGTTTCAATGGGCGGAGTGAGCTATTTCGAAAATGGACCATTAGATCTTTTATATTTTGTGGCCCCACACCTATGTTACATCCCATCTCAATTAGTGAAAAATCAAAGTTGATTTCTCAAAGTCTAAGTCAAACATGGACTTAAATGAAGTATATCATTTTATTGGGACTTGAATTGGCCAAATTATTTTATTGGGTTTTATTTTACAAATTGACAATATTTGAAGGTTTAACATGGATAAAATTTAAAGTTGGGATTTATTTTTCTAATTTTGGAATGTTAGAGAAGCTCAATTTCTCGACTT